TCTAAGCCTGCAGTCACCGAGCTATTAATTACATCGCTGATAATAGTGTCATTAATGCTTGCACCATCAATAAATGCTGAACTAATTATTATAATAATTGGAACAATAATTGAATAATTTATAAATAAACCATAGATGGTCCAACAAAAATTATGTTAACTCCATCAATAATGACATTTTTATTACATGAAATAATGAATAAAAACGTAATGTCACGCCTTATGTCCATACATATATGGCTCTTCATTAATAATTACATCATTAAGATGTCAATCAATGAGGAATTCGATAATATCTTGCTTTCTAACAGTGGTAGACGATCTTAAATAAAAATAATTGCGAAGAACACCTCAAATTTCAACAAGCAACACGTTATTTCAGCAGCAACATAACCACTAAAAAATATAAGTTAGTAAAATGCACCAATAGTTGCAGTTAGGTAACGAGGTAACCTCCCCTCATCCGGGAGAGTAACGGCCCTCCCCTCACCCGGGAGAGTAACAGCCCTCCCCTCTCCCGGGAGAGTAACGGCCCTCCCCTCACCCGGGAGAGTAACAGCCCTCCCCTCCCCCGGGAGAGTAACGGCCCTCCCCTCACCCGGGAGAGTAACAGCCCTCCCCTCACCCGGGAGAGTAACAGCCCTCCCCTCACCCGGGAGAGTAACAGCCCTCCCCTCCCCCGGGAGAGTAACGGCCCTCTCTTTAACCCGATAAGGTGACGACCCTCCCTTCACCCGGAAAAGTATCCTCCCATCACCCGGGAGAGTGAGGGACTAAGAAAGGAAGGAAGGGTAACGATCCACCCTCTCACCAGGCAGGGTAACGATCCTGAGGATCCAGGAGTCGGAGGAGCTGGTATCCTCCAGCAGCAGCAGCAGCTGAGGATCCTTCGTGTAGTCCGTCCTGGGCAGCACCACGGCATCCACCACGCGCCCTGGAGGGTAGTATCCTTCAGTAACCTCATATGTCCCTCATTACTCTCATACATCATACAACCATCCTCATACTTTACTCTTCGTACATACAAAATATTGTATGAAGCATCATAGTGAACCATATCACTGTACACAATAACACTGTACACAATATCATCGTATACCGGTACCACCACCTGCCAGCTACAATACCTGCAGCAGGTGCAGGAGGGCAGCAGGTCCTGTACAGCCCCGTCATGGTACACACCTGCAGCAGGTGCAGGAGGGCAGCAGGTCCTGTACAGCCCCGTCATGGTACACACCTGCAGCAGGTGCAGGAGGGCAGCAGGTCCTGTACAGCCCCGTCATGGTACACACCTGCAGCAGGTGCAGGAGGGCAGCAGGTCCTGTACAGCCCCGTCATGGTACACACCTGCAGCAGGTGCAGGAGGGCCGCAGGTCCTGTACAGCCCCGTCATGGTACACACCTGCAGCAGGTGCAGGAGGGCCGCAGGTCCTGTACAGCCCCGTCATGGTACACACCTGCAGCAGGTGCAGGAGGGCCGCAGGTCCTGTACAGCCCCGTCATGGTACACACCTGCAGCAGGTGCAGGAGGGCCGCAGGTCCTGTACAGCCCCGTCATGGTACACACCTGCAGCAGGTGCAGGAGGGCCGCAGGTCCTGTACAGCCCCGTCATGGTACACACCTGCAGCAGGTGCAGGAGGGCCGCAGGTCCTGTACAGCCCCGTCATGGTACACACCTGCAGCAGGTGCAGGAGGGCCGCAGGTCCTGTACAGCCCCGTCATGGTACACACCTGCAGCAGGTGCAGGAGGGCCGCAGGTCCTGTACAGCCCCGTCATGGTACACNCATCACCCCTCATGCCTCACATCACCCCTCATGCCCCACATCACCACTCATACCCCACATCACCCCTCATGCCCCACATCACCCATCATGCCCCACATCACCCCTCATGCCCCACAACACCCCTCATGCCTCACATCACCCCTCATGCCTCACATCACCCCTCATGCCCCAGATCACCCCTCATGCCTCACATCACCCCTCATGCCCCATCACCCCTCATGCCCCACATCACCCCTCATGCCCCACCACTAAGGGCGCGCCCCACGGTCCCCAGCACGGCGTGGCCCACACGCAGGGCGTTGTCGGGCCACTGGGCCTTCTCCCGGGACTCCAGACTCCTGCGGGGGGAGGGGACACTCATAGAAATGTGGGACAATTTGTCCAGATAATGAAGCACTTTTTTAAATTGTCTGTGTGTGTCAGGCACGGCCATAAGGCGCATGTCAGATTAATGCCTCAGTTAATTGATTAATCGAGAGTAACACGAGGCTAGAAATAAATATATATGTGAGTAATGAATACCTAATTACGACTAAGGTAATAGAAATATTATTCTAATAAAGCGTTAGAAATAGAAGAAGTCAGTATTTAAATAGCTGCAAGATGAAAGAAGTATTAAAGAAATTATTACCATTATTTTATTATTTAATCAAATCATCACATCATAATTATTCATTATTATTATATTATTTACAAATAATGACACGAGACCTGATCCTGGCAAGCGTAGAGTGAAGGCAATAGTGATTCAATGAGGGGTTATTCAAGAAATTATAATCATTATTTATTATTAATATATTATATACAAAGAATGAGACGAGACCTGATCCTGGGGAGGGTAGAGTGAAGTCAATAGAAGTACCTGTTAGGGGTGATGCTAGAAATTAACATTATTCATTATTAGTATCATTCATTACCATTATTATTCATTTTTATCATTATATTATTAACAAACAATGACACTAGACCTGATCCTGGCAAGGGTCCAGCGCAGGATGGCGGGCAGGGCAGGCGGGCAGAGAAGCAGCAGGTCGGCGAGGGCGTGGGGCAGCCACGCCACGAGGGCATCTGAGGGCAACCCACCAGGCACACCGTGCAGCATGGCGCTCACGTCACCCTCGTCCACGCGATCCATGAACTCGTGCTGGTGGCGCCGCCATATGCAGCCCCACATGGACAGCTCGCCCTGAGGGACAGCGTCATGTTTATTGCTAACTCGTGCTGGTGGCGCCGCCATATGCAGCCCCACATGGACAGCTCGCCCTGAGGAACAGCGTCGTGTTTATTGCTAACTCGTGCTGGTGGCGCCGCCATATGCAGCCCCACATGGACAGCTCGCCCTGAGGGACAGCGTCGTGTTTATTGCTAAAGTCGTGACGTCATCATTGTTAACATCATCATAGTTATGATTTGCATGGTTTACATCAACATAGTTAACACCAACAAGATATTTTTTGCAGAAAGAAAATTTAACAAATGATATTTTTGTTCGGCCGAAATTTACAAGGCAAATTTCCAAGTGATGACATGCGATGAACAAAGTAAATTAGCCAATCATGTGAAATATGGACACCATAGAGATTTATTGCCGTAAGCAATTATCAAAATAAAGCAGTTACTACTGCAAGAACTGAAAGCCGTTATCAAAATAAAGCAGTTACTGCAGGAAATAACAGCCGTGATCAAAATAAAGCAGTTACTGCAGGAAATAAAAGCAGTTACTGCAGGAAATAAAGCAGTTACTGCAGGAAATAAAGCAGTTACTGCAGGAAATAAAGCAGTTACTGCAGGAAATAAGATCTCACAGCTGCGAGGTGCTCGGTGCAGAGCTGCAGAGGGTCCGCTGCAGAGAAGGCTGCCCACACGGCCACGTCTGCGTCTGCAGGCTGCAGCTGCAGGAACGTCCCCATACGCTGCTGCAGGCGCCCTACCTGCTCTCTCAGGGCGGCCTCCTCCTGCAGTGTGAAGGCCTTTTTAATTTTATTTATTATTTTATTACAACACAATGTATAGAACCTTTCACTGCAATACAATACATAATATAGTACGTTTCACTGCAATACAATACATAATACATCTTATTGCAGTATATAATATATTTGCAGGTCATGCCTGAGCAGCAGGGTTGTTTCACTGTGATACAATACATAATTTAATATATTTTTTTCCAATACAATACATAATATATTTTACTGTAATATATAATGTATGCAGGTCATGCCTGAGCAGCAGGGTTGTTTCACTGTGATACAATACATAATACAATACATTTTATTGCAATACAATGCATAATATATTTTACTGTAATAAATAATACTGTATATTTCCATGTCATGCCTGAGCAGCAGGGTTGGCGAGGCGGCGGGCGGCGTAGGCCAGGAGGGCGTCAGTGAGGGCGACGGTGGGCAACATCGCCCCCACACACGCCCGCCCCACGAACCCCACGTCCTGGATACCGTCCAGCACACCCAGCAGCTCGTCCAGCACACTGTCATGTCTTATTCTTATTAACTAACGATATTTTTAGTCCCAGAACAAGTGATTACTTATAATGAAACTGAATTGGTGAATACAACTCCAGCACTGAATTCAACTCCAGCAGCCATTTTCTGCTTTATAGCTGTACAATTATGTAGGATCTAAATCTTAAACGTGTATTTAAACGGCAAATATATTGAAAAAAAAGCTGTCGCAAGAAGCTTCAAGATAATTTACTGAAAAAAAAACTATCATAAGAGGTGTCAAGCACTGGAGTTAACAGAGAGGTGTAGGGTGGCTCATTACAACGTCAGAAATAATATATTTAAAAAAACAAACACCTGTCATAAGAAGCATCAAGTCAAGCAGTGGAGTTAGAATTAACAGAGAGGTGTAGGCTTGTCATTACAACGTCAGAAATAATATATTGAACAAACACCTGTCATAAGAGGTGTCCATAAAAGCGGTGGAGTTGGCGCTGAGGGGGCGGTAGGGCTTGAGCTGCTGCAGCAGGTAGAAGGCAACAGATCTAAATAATTACAGTAATAAAGCAGTCATTTTCTGCTTTTAACCGTACAATTATCTAGGAGCAAACATACCTACATAATCTCCATCTTAAACGTGTATTTAAACGGCAAACATATAAAAAAAACTCCTGTCACAAGGAACTTCAAGTAAATAGACTGAAAATAATTTGTTCTAAGAGGTATCTAGTCAAGCGGGGGAGTTAGAATTAACAGAGAGGTAGGGTGGTTCATTACACCGTCTGAAATAATATATTTAAAAAAAACAAACACCTGTCATATGAGGTGTCCATAAAAGTGGTGGAGTTGAAGTTAATAGAGAAGTAGGGTAGAAAAAATATACAAAAAAAAAAACACCTGTCATATGAGGTGTCCATAAAAGCGGTGGAGTTGGCGCTGGGGAGGCGGTAGGGCTTGAGCTGCTGCAGCAGGTAGAAGGCTTTGCCCTTAGCGACCAGCGACGCGTCCAGCTTGAAGAGGCGGGCGAACTTTAGGGCCTCGTCGAACTTCTGCTTACTGATGAGCTTACGCAGCCTGCAGTGATAAATAACTTTCATATTGCTTCTTTATTTATTGTTTCTTCATAAATTGTTTCAAAAGATATTGTTTCTACAGTTGTACTACCACTACCTACTACCACTACCAGCACCTAGCTGCACCACCAGCAGCAGTACCTAGCCTCGGGGACGCCGTCTATGATTGTCACTACCAGCACCTAGTGACACTAGTAGTACCTAGCCTCAGGGACGCCGTCTATGATGGTCACTACCAGCACCTAGTGACACTAGCTACCAGCACCTAGTGACACTAGTAGTACCTAGCCTCAGGGACGCCGTCTATGATGGTCTTTATCTTGATGGCGCGGGCGTCAGTGTCGGGCTCGAGGAAGACCATCGCCTCGACGCCCCCCGCCAGGGGCACCAGGGCGCTGCCGCCCCCCACCCGCAGCTCGTACTCGCTCTCAAGGCCTGCAGTCACCAAACTATTAATTACATCCTTGATAATTATGCCCTTAATGCTTGCACCAGCAATAATTGTAGATCTCATTATTATAAGATCTAATTATTGCAGATCTAATTATATAATCTATCTAATTGTAACATTAATTGCATAATTCATAACTGTACCATAGATGGTCCAATAAAGATTATTGTGACTTCATTAATGCTTGCATTTTTATTACATGAAATAATGAATAATAAGGTAATGTCACGCCTTATGTACATAAATATATGGCTCTTCTTTAAGAATAGATGGTCAAATAAAAATTATTTTATCTCCATCAATAATTACATTTTTATTACGTGATATAATGAATAATAGGGTAATGACACGCCTTATGTACATAAAGATGGCTCTTCATTAATAATTCCATCGTTAAGATATTAATCAATGAGGAATTCAATAATATCTGCCTTCTAACAGTATTAGAAGATCTTACATTAAGTAATTGTAAAGAACGACTGAAATTTACCAAGGCAATACGTCATTTCAGCAGCAACATCGCCACTAAAAAATATAAGTTAGTAAAATGCACCAATAGTTGCAGTTAGGTAACGAGGTAACCTCCCCTCACCCGGGAGAGTAACGGCCCTCCCCTCACCCGGGAGAGTAACGGCCCTCCCCTCACCCGGGAGAGTAACGGCCCTCTCTTTAACCCGATAAGGTGACGACCCTCCCTTCACCCGGAAAAGTATCCTCCCATCACCCGGGAGAGTGAGGGACTAAGAAAGGAAGGAAGGGTAACGATCCACCCTCTCACCAGGCAGGGTAACGATCCTGAGGATCCAGGAGTCGGAGGAGCTGGTATCCTCCAGCAGCAGCAGCAGCTGAGGATCCTTCGTGTAGTCCGTCCTGGGCAGCACCACGGCATCCACCACGCGCCCTGGAGGATAGTATCCTTCAGTAACCTCATATGTCATTCATTACTACTCATACATCATACATCCATCCTATACTTTACTCTTCATACATCATACATCCATACTCATACTTTACTCGTCATACATCACACATCCATCTTCATACTTTACTCATCATACATCATACATGACTGAAGCAGTCGCCGGACTCCAAACATTAATTTAATACGAACTTTTTCGCGCTACATCCACAGCTCGCTAATTTGTATGTATTATCCAAACGCAATAAATATATTTCTGATAAACATTATAAGTTTTTATTGAAGGCCGAGGAGTTGCCAGGCTGCTGAATGAAAACAGTCGAGTTCTTGATGGTACAAAATATTGTATAAAGCATCATGGGGGAACAATAGCTCTGTATACAATATCAATGTATAACACCACCTGCCAGGCACAATACCTGCAGCAGGTGCAGGAGGGCGGCAGGTCCTGTACAGCCCCGTCATGGTACACACCTGCAGCAGGTGCAGGAGGGCATATAGTAATGTAATAGTGTAGTACAGTACATTAATATAGTTATGTAATAGTGTAATACAGCACATTAGTATAGTAATGTATTAGTACAGTACAGCATTGCACACGCTGGCAACGTCGCTCTGCACAGCAAGCATTTGCTTTATTAATCAAGGTTGAAACAAAATAAATAATAATGTAATAGTAAAGTACAGTACATTAGAATAGTAATATTTAATTAAAAGAATGCATTCTTCATTTAGAACCACTCTACAGCATAACTTCCAGAGCTGCCTGACAATAATAATATTTATCATAGTACGGTTATATATAGAATAATAATGTATATTAATAATATATAGCATATTATGGTGAATTGTGATATATATAATAATAATGTATACGGTATAATACAAAGTAGTAAGTAGTAAAGTAGTAGAGTTGAGACCTGCAATAAAAATACATAGCACAGTATGGTGATATATAGCGTAATAATGTATATAATACAGTGTAACAAGTAGTAAAGTAATACAATTACGACCTGCATGTATTGCTGCAGAGGCACCCTGAGCCTGTAGGTGTGCAGCAGCGTGTGCAGCTGCTGCAGCGCCTGCAGCATCACACGCAGCTCCTGCAGCGCAGCTCCTGCACACACGCTGCCTCCTGCACACAACAAATATACAGCCACTCATTTAATTCATACAATATCATCATTATCATCAATATTGTCATTGTTATCATCATTATTATGGTTATCATCGTTATTGTCATTATCATGATTATCATCATTATCATCATTTCATTCCTGTGTTGTCTTCAAAAACTGATAGCCTTTCTCATGTCAAATGATATTGCAGCATTATTTTTATTACATATATAAATAGAAATTAATTTTATTTAAAAAATTGTTTTTTGTGGTAACAGAAGTGCACAAAATATTTTTCTTGATTATCCAACCCAACCATTTTTTTATTTATGTTTCAATGTCAATCACTTCTTCATGCCCCATCACCCCTCATGCCACATCACCCCTCATGACCTCCATCACCCCTCATGCCACATCACCCCTCATGACCTCCATCACCCCTCATGCCACATCACCCCTCATGCCACATCACCCCTCATGCNGGCCACTGACCTGCGCAGTGGAGGGCCACTGACCTGCGCAGTGGAGGGCCACTGACCTGCGCAGTGGAGGGCCACTGACCTGCGCAGTGGAGGGCCACTGACCTGCGCAGTGGAGGGCCACTGACCTGCGCAGTGGAGGGCCACTGACCTGCGCAGTGGAGGGCCACTGACCTGCGCAGTGGAGGGCCACTGACCTGCGCAGTGGAGGGCCACTGACCTGCGCAGTGGAGGGCCACTGACCTGCGCAGTGGAGGGCCACTGACCTGCGCAGTGGAGGGCCACTGACCTGCGCAGTGGAGGGCCACTGACCTGCGCAGTGGAGGGCCACTGACCTGCGCAGTGGAGGGCCACTGACCTGCGCAGTGGAGGGCCACTGACCTGCGCAGTGGAGGGCCACTGACCTGCGCAGTGGAGGGCCACTGACCTGCGCAGTGGAGGGCCACTGACCTGCGCAGTGGAGGGCCACTGACCTGCGCAGTGGAGGGCCACTGACCTGCGCAGTGGAGGGCCACTGACCTGCGCAGTGGACAGGCTACTGACCTGCGCAGTGGAGGGCCACTGACCTGCGCAGTGGACAGGCCACTGACCGGCGCAGTGGAGGGCCCACTGACCTGCGCAATGAAGGGGCCACTGACCTGCGCAGCGGACAGGCCACTGACCTGCGCAGTGGAGGGCCACTGACCTGCTCAGTGGAGGGCCACTGACCTGCGCAGTGGAGGGGCCACTGAGCTCAGTGATACACCACTGACCTGCGCAGTGGAGGACCACTGACCTGCGCAGTGGAGGGACCACTGACCTGCGCAGTGGAGGGACCACTGACCTGCGCAGTGGAGGGCCACTGAACTGCGCAGTGGAGGGCCACTGAGCTCAGTGATACACCACTGACCTGCGCAGTGGAGGGGCCACTGACCTGCGCAGTGGAGGGACCACTGAGCTCAGTGATACGCCACTGACCTGCGCAGTGGAGGGCCACTGACCTGCGCAGTGGAGGGCCACTGACCTGCGCAGTGGAGGCCACTGACCTGCGCAGTGGAGGGGCCACTGAGCTCAGTGATACGCAGGCCATGTCGTCCGAGGGTAACTTTAAGGGTGGCCAGCCTGCGGTGCTCGAGCAGCTGCAGGCTGTAGCGCTGGCCTGCTGCTCCACCGTCCTGCTCAGCGGCCTGCAGCGCCTCCACGCACAACTGCTCCGTGCCTGCGCTCCATGGCACGCATGCGTGCGCCACGCACGCCGTCATGCACGACACGCGCGTCTGGGGAGAGGAGTGACTGTTAGGATGTGTGCCAGATGTGGCATGTGGCATGCGTGTGCCAGATGTGGCATGCGCGTCTGGGGGGACGATCGTCAGTTAGGATACGCGTGCCATTTGTGGCATGTGGCATGCGTGTGCCAGATGTGGCATGCACGTCTGGGGCACCAGCATCCGTTAGGATATGTGTGCCATGTGTGGCATGTGTGTGCCAGATGTGGCATGCGTGTGCCAGATGTGGCATGCGTGTGCCAGATGTGGCATGCGTGTGCCAGATGTAACATGTGTGTGCCAGATGTGGCATGCATGTGCCAGATGTGGCATGTGTGTGCCAGATGTGGCATGTGTGTGCCAGAATTGTCACTTAACACTCGCTTTCGTCTCATGCAAATTTGGGCACACATTTCTATAAATAAAATTTATGTATAAAGTTCTATAAATGTAAAGCACATGAAGTGAGGATAAAATGAATGGATGCCAGAAAATATAACTAAAAAAGAGAGTGATCTCTTCCAATCCACACAGGTTTGCTAAATGCTTGACAAATACTGGTATTATACAGGCATCATAAATTCATATCCGCTGAATGGGCAACATGTATGAATAAATTATACGTGTCCTGTAGCAAATAAAGTACACATGTCCTGTAGCATACATGAAAATCTAAACCTTTACATTATGACATTAGTGTCTTATAAATTATATCACATTTTACGACAAATTCCAATAAAGAAAATAGACTAATAAATGCAGAGGTCACCTTTTGAGCCGGTCCTTATTTAAATATTAACATACAAATAATTAAATTGAAATTTTATAAATCTTTACTGTGCATAATTATAATAGAATATAAGAGACCTGTAGGCTGTGTATGGTCCTTGAGCCCATCATTAGCAAAAATAACATTGAAATAATTAATTAAATAATGTTTAATTGTTTATTTAATATAATTCTAATGATAAGAGACCTGTAGGTTATTTGTGGCCCTGCAGACAGCATGTAACATGTCCTCTTGAGCCGATCATTATTAATATTAACATTGAAATGATTAAGTTAATAATGTTATGATTGTTAACTTAATATAATTATAAGTGAAATATAAGAGACCTGTAGGTTATTTATGGCCCTGCAGACAGCATGTAGCTTGTCCTCCCACAGCGCCTCGTGCTGCTCCCCCAGCAGCCACTGCTGCTGGTGGAGCTCCCCCAGCTGCTGCTGCACGTAATGCTGCAGCACTGCATCACTTGCTGCACTGTCACCACTGCACAGCACCGGCCTCAGGAACTGCGTCACTAGAGGCTGTACTTCTTCACCGCACACCAACCACTGCAGCACAGCACTGCACACGCTGGCCACGTCGCTCTGCACAGCAAACATTTGCTTTATAATTACCATTGAAACAATATAAATAATTATGTTATAGTGTAGTACAGAACATTAATATAGTTATGTAATAGTATTGTACAGTACATTAATATAGTAATGTAAGAGTGTAGTACAGTACATTAATATAGTAATGTAAAGTTAGTGCATTACCCTGCTAACTTGACGCCAATGTTACTCCAGCTTAAATCTTTGAGTAAAATATAAAAATATTAAGATACGTATAAGTTAAGCAATAAAGCACAAAAAAGGTATATAGAATATTTTGCGTGCAAGCACCTGGAGTTTGGAGATGGCTGCAATGTTGTGCAGATGATGATATAATGTTACTATAATATGTTACGTGAATATAATATCTTAGGTGCAAGCACCTGGACGTATAGACAAGTATATTAGGATAAGTATAGCTACTTCAGTGCAATAAAGGTGAATATAATATTATACATGGAAGCACCTGGAGTTTGGAGATGGCAGCAATGTAGTGCAGGTGGAGACGCCACTCCTGCAGGAGGGCAGGAGGGGCGCGCTGCAGGAGCAGCTGCTGCAGAGACACCACGCCTTCTGCCACGCGCTCTCTCGTGCGCCGCGTCTGCAGAACACAGATATTTATTTCGCTTGTTACTATAATATTATTATTATTGTATACATGTAAAATTATTATTAGTAATATTACATTATTAATGCCAAATATTCATTTAGCTTATTACTGTAATATTATTATTGATGTATACATGTATTAATTTATTATTATTAGTAGTAATATAACATTATTAATGTCAAATATTCATTCCCTTATTACTGTAAAATTATTAATGTATAGATGTAATAATGTAATATTATAATTAGTAATATTACATTATCAATGCCAAATATTCATTTAGCTCATTACTGTAATATTATTAATGTATACATGTAATGATTCAATATTATTATTAGTAATATTACATTATTAATGCCAAACATTCATTAGGTTGTAGAAATTTAAACGATTAAAGATTAGTTTCATTGTTATAATTTTATTATTGACTGTTAGCAATATTTTTCATCAACATTTACAGCTCAATTAGACAGTTTTTCGACAACATTTAAATATAAAACGTAATTAGACAGTTTTCCATCAGCATTTAAATATACAGCTTAATTACATGATTTCTCTTTAAAATTGACCAAACTAGAAGCCTGGTAAAGAGGTGAGTAAAATGTACGACGCAATGCATGCAAGATATTTTTGTACAGCTTGTCATCACCAAGCTAGTTAGTTAGTTCAGTTGCCGTAGTTGCTAGCGCTTCAGGTCGAGCTATCTCGCGCCGAAAGTCACATCGGACATTATTGGCTATGGGTAGATTACATCACTTGTGTGGTGTTGTGCGGATCATATGTAGTCAAATGCATTGATTAATGCCTGTCTCTTATACACATCTAGATGTGTATAAGAGACAGGTGTTCTTTGTTTCCTTGAGGAATTACAAACTGAGAAATGCATACGAAAGCTATATAACACTATTAAAGATGAAAATAGCATCAATGCTGACTTCTCAAAAGCTTAATTAAGATACTACCTATTTTGCACAGAAGATATTAAAGCATATAAATAAGTAATAGTCAGTGAAGATATGTAACTTGGTTCATTTAACAAGCCTCCTTCGTCTCTGTTTAACATGAATTTTATCTTGAATAAATTTGATATAGCGATTTATTTGATGAATTGGATTGATGGGAAAAAATAGCGAGAATATAGCATTATTTGATGAATTTGATTGATGGGAAGAAACAGGGAGAATATAGCATTACTTGATGAATTTGATTCATGGGAAGAAATATGGAGAATATAGCATTATTTGATGAATATGAATTGGATTAATGAAAGAAATATGGAGAATATAGCATTATTTGATGAATTTGATTGATGGGAAGAAACAGGGAGAATGTAGCATTATTTCATGAATATGAATTAGATTGATGGGAAGAAATATGGAGAATATAGCATTATTTGATGAATTTTAATTGGATTGATGGGAAGCAATAGGGAGGATATAGCATTATTTGATGAATTTGAATTAGATTGATGGGAAGAAATATGAAGAATATATCATTATTTGATGAATTTTAATTAGATTGATGGGAAGAAATATGGAGAATATATCATTATTTAATGAATTTGAATTAGATTGATGGGAAGAAATAAGGTACCAGGCTGGGCGTGCAGCAGGGCAGCGTGGACCACACGCAGCGTGTGGTGCAGGAGGGCCACAGTGGTGGTGTGGTCCGACGTGTGTGGCGACAACGCAGGCGTGGCTGTGAAGCAGTCAACCTCTTCTGCTGGCGACTCCTGCGCAACCTCAGCCTGCGACAATATCATATCTTATTTGTTTAAGTCTAAGATATTTTTACATAATTTCATGATCAGCTATTTTTCTTAAATTCAATATATGTTTATATTAGTTCTAGATATATTTTCTCAAATTTAATAGGTATAATTTTACTTGAGTTCAAATATTTTTTCTGAAATTCAACTTATTTTTCCTAAATGCAAGATAAGTTTTCTCAAATTCAAGATATTTTTACTTTACTTTTAGATAATTTTTTTCTCAAATTTAAGTTATTTTTTCCTAAATGCATGATAAGTTTTCTCAAATACAAGATATTTTTCCTAAATACAAGATATATTTTCTTGAATGCAAGATATAATCATAACGGAATTGGATGCAATGCTTCCATTGATGCATCCATCTTCCAGCAGTCAAAATAGCAGTAACTATGGCTTAGAAATCAGTGGTAATTTGACTTGTAATTTCTAGACATCCTAACTAATGTCAACACATTACCCGACTTAATTAATTTTATTTAGTGAAGTTAGTTATCTAACAGTGACTGACAATAGAAAACATCCCGAAATATTTTGTTAGTCAATAGAACACAGCTAGACTAGTTTCTCCGACTAGTATAGACGACTAGTTTCTACGTGGTGCTAACACCTCGCAATATTTGCTATTAATATTACTTGCTAGTTAAGTTTTTAGTACACGAATGGACTAGTTTGTTCGTAGGCTAATGCTAGTTAGTGCAATTAGTTGTGCTCCAGCAGGCTGGTTAGTACATATCTCTTATACACATCT